GTGGCGGTACAATCCTGTAATGCCAGCACTCAGGAGGCTGGGGCAGGAGGATTACTGTGAGTTTGAGGCCAGCCTGGGCTATATAGTGAGTTCCAGGCCAGTCTGCACTATAAAGCAAGACCCTATTTTGAAATAATAATAGTAATAATAGTTGTAAGACCATTCAGATTTTCTATTTCAGTCTATTTTGGTAAAAAATATGTGTTACATCTTATATAATATATCTAATATATAATACATATATTTTAATTGATGTATAGTAATTTTATATACTTATTAGGCATAGTCTAATACTTTCATGCATATATACAATGTCTAATAATCAAATCAGGATAATTAGCATATTCATCACCTTAAACATTTAACATTTATTAGGGCCCCTGAGAGCTTTTAAAATGGAAGCCAATCACCAGAAAGACCCAGCGCGGGACTAAAGTCTCATCTGCTATGATCCCCTATCATCAAGGAAAGAAGGAAGGTGGGCTGCAGACTGCTCACCCATGGGTGGCCAACAGCTTAGCCACGCCTGTGTGAGGAGGTTTCAGTAGCGCACTCTTGAACGGCAAGGCTTGGGAAGCTTCCGGAAGGGTGAACAAGCACATGCTGGGCTGACACACACGCGTGTGTAAGGGAGCTCTGTGCCCACCCCCACGCACAGTGCCTTGTGCTGTGCATCGTACTTCCCGTCTGCACTGCAAAGCAAGCTTTATCTTTAGGATAAAGCCGTGGTCAACAGGATAAAAGGGGAGATGGCTCAGTAGAATAAGTGCTTCCCTGGCAAGCGCAAGGATCTGAGTTCAATCCCTGGTTCCGCAAAAAAAAAAAAAAAAAAAAAAAAACAAAACCAACCAACCAACCAAACAAACAAAACACAAAAAACTCCTCAACTAGAGAGTAAAAATGTGGCTGTGTAATCATTTTTAAGCAAAGCTAAATTAAATAATGCATGTAAAGTACTTGGCACATAGTAAGCACTAAAATAATTTTTTTTTTTTTTTTTTCTGACAACTGAGAGTGAAGAGACTTTGGCCATAGTCCAGTTCTTTCCCTCATTTCCTGTGTTCCTAGAAATGAGAACTTAGATCCTGAGAGAACATAGATCCTGTTACTTTATTTCTGATTTCATGTCCCAGAGCAAACTCTGTTAACTTTCATGATATGCACCAGATAAGATCATAAATGTGAATTTGCCTTATGAACTATGAAGTGACAAAACTATGTTTGGGTTCCCAACTCCTTCTGAACTAGTTCTTGGCTCACCAAATTTTTCTGTGACTTGCGTGAGTCTTCAAAGTGAGCTGAACCCATGGGTGGGAGGCTCTGAGACACAGACCATGGCCACTGGCTTGTTTGATAAAGCTTCCTTTTAGAGTAAGAACCACAGTTGGTTGACTCTGTCTTCACTACCAACTTAGTCTCGGTCACAGAGCAAAGTGGGGTTTCTAGAACTGAGGTGACCCTGCCAGGGATACCTGTCCTGAGTCCAAATCAAGTAGTTGGTAATCACCACTCTTAAGCCATTATGTATCCATCCATCCATCTATCCATCCATCCATCTGTGCAGGCCACTGTAGCTCTGTGCTAGGTAGAAGGATATGACTGAGAAACCCACATCTAGCTATGCCCTCTTGGACTTCGGGTCTTGCCTTATCTCCAGGCACAATCTCTGCTAGTGGAAACAAGAAAGCTACGCACCAGAATTTGCTGAATTTCGTTATTATCACACTTCACGTGATATTTCACAATGTCCTGGAAAATGTCTTTCCTATTTTCAAGCCTGTTCATCGATTCATAGGTGTCAGGATTTAAGACAGACCATCCCAGGAATTGAGTCAAAGACTGAAAAGAAAAGAAGAATGAGAAACAGAACACACAGGTTTGGGCCGACCAGATAGCTCAGTGAACTAAAGTGCCTGCTCAGGCAGAGCACAGTGGACAGGGTTCAATACCAGCATGCCACCAGCACTGCCCCCAGGGTATGCTGAGACAGTGATTGAGTCTGGGTGTAGAGGTGCGGGCCTGTAATCCCAGTGCTTGGGAGACTGAACACAGGAGGATCATGATGAGTCTGATCTACATAGTGTGACCCTGTGGTCCCTGTAGACCCTGTACCCCATGCATTAAAAAAAAAGAACATGCAGGTTTGATGCTGACCCTGCAGGACAAGGCACCCTAAGCTATGTACTGCCCACCACTTGGAGGTACGGTAAAATAAGATAAAGTAATATAGGTATGAGTGCTCTTTAAATTAAGAACTAACACACATTAAGTTATATTCTTAAACATAATCACTTCATTTAGTTTTGGGACAGAGTCTATCTATGCACTTTACGATGACTTTGAACTCACAGTGATCCTCCTGCCTCAGCCTCCCATGCTAGGATTAAAGGCATAAGCCACCACGCTTGGCCAACTTTAAAAAGGACACTCTGCCTATAAGAGCAGGGAGAATGCAGGAATGCTGTAATTTCTGCTCAATTTTGCTGCAAATCTAAAACTTCAATTTAAAAAATGAAGTTTCTTTGTTACATTTTTAAAAGGGGGATTGTGAACTTCTCTGACAACATGTGGCAGTGAAGACATGAGAACAAAGAAAATGGCTAAGGGGCTGCGGAGATAGCTCGGCGGTTTAAGTGCCTGCCTAGGCAAGCATAGGACCTAGGCTTGATCCCCAGTACTGCATGCCATGCAGGCCCCACCCCGGGTGTGCTGAGCTGGCCACCAAGACTGGGCGTGGGGGTACGTCCCTGTAATCCCAGTTCGAAGGCTGAAACAAGAGGATCACTAGGAGTCTGAGCTGCATAGTGAGACCCTCTACCAGACACATTAAAAAAAAAGGACTAAGTCTGTGTCAGGAATACACCCACAAGGTGGCGGCCCTACCCCTCCACTCAGCTGGGCAGCCATGGACTCAGCTGGGGTCCCACTGCACAGTAGGGAAGCTCAATGTGGTGGCAAGTGAACTATGAGTCCTAACACCAAGGGACCTCCCAGCACATCAAACCTCCATGAGCGTCTCGTCCATTTCATCAAAGGGTTTCCCATCTTTGCGATTGTAAAACGTGGCTACCCCAACAATTTCTTCCTTCTTGTTCACAATGGGCATTGAAAGGACATTTTTGATCATCCATCCAGACTCATCCAGGGGCTCTTTCTATAAGAGAAGCAACAGACTTCAGGTTCTGTCTGGCTGCAGGCTGCCCTAACAGCTGTAATGGACTCCCTGCTGCGACATGATTTCTTTTTTTTTTATTCCCTGGCTGAGAAGGGGCAGAAAGAGGATGGAGTTTGTTGCATTTTGCATGGTTTTAGCCAGGCACAAAGACCATGAGCAAATGGCCCGGCTGAGTCCCTGAAGTCACGTGACAATATTGTTTCTATCCCTAAGATGTTAGGGCTGGTGTGTGCCAGGCAGTACATTCCGTCCTGGGGCTATAATGATGAGTAGAAACACCCCAGGAGGCAGTAGCTCCCTTTCACATATAGGAGGTAACCACGGCTGAATTGCTGGCTTCAAAAGCCAGTGCTGCTGGTTCTCATAACTTTGAATTAATCACTTAGATATATCCTGAATTTTTGCCTTTGACCTAACTTTTTAGATTAGTTTTGGCATACTATTTATCTCCTTGGAGGCCTATCACCCTCCAAGTTCTCTATGGGAGTCATTTCTTTGTGAAGGTCATGATAAAGAGAAAGTAAAATAGGATACCACTAAAAATTTTTAAATATGGAAATTAATTGATTCAGTTTTCCCATCTATAGATAGAAGAAAACATGCACCTCAATAAAGAAATGAGGCTCTTGGTCAATTATAAGATGCTTTGATGAGTCATTTCCCGTCTGCCTGAGCCTTGCTTTTATCATAAAATTGACATAAAAACTCCTTCCACTGATTCGTCAACATTTATAGTATATAAGCTACCAGCTGGGAAAGCCAAGAAAATAAGGCACAGATTGTCCTCAGCATATTTATAATCTATAAAGTAAACCAACAATTGTACAGTAGTGTGGGAAGTTGTCTGAGTTCGCTTTATAGTTCTCTTGAGCTGGACGGGAGAAGGAAGTCAAGGAAGGCTTTCTCCAGAAGGTGTCCTTCAGTTCTGAAATTTCTAGATTCTTCGGTGGTGAGATGATAGTTATTATTAGCATTTTAATATGCTGGTGGGAGTTGACAGGAGGATGAAGGACACCATATAACCCAGGGGGTACAGGATGATGGGCTTGAGGCCTATTGTCCACAACTCTCTACAGAACCCTCAGGGAGTCCTCTCCTTCTGAAGGTCAGAATAAAGAGCAAGTGAAATCAGATGCCAGCAAAGGGACCAGGGAGATAGCTCAGTAGGATAAGTGCTTGCTTGGTAAGCACAAGGGCCAGAGTTCAATCCCCAGTTCTGCCAAAAAAAAAAAAAAAAAAGAGAGAAAGAAAGATGCCAGCAAAGATTTTTAAGGAAGAAAATTCATTGATCCAACTTATCTTCTTAAAAAAAATCTTTGTGGAAGATGAGTTGGAGGAGAATCTAAAGATTACATTTGCTTTACTAATATTGTTAAACTACAATCACATGACTTGGGTAAAGATCAAGTTATATGGTAGTTTTGACCAAATTAGCAACTCCTTAAGCTTGCTATATTGATGCCACCAAAAAATCCCAACATAGGCAGTGCAATCTAAGTGTATCTTTCTAAACCTTTTGATAATATTCTTTAAGGTAAGAAAGTAGTTCATTGATTTTCCTAATGAGTCAATCATTTTTATTTCCTTATCTTTCACTGATTGCTAATGGTTTGCTAAATGTTACTATGCTAAACTCAACAAATATTAAAAGGGCACCTAGAGCTTAAAAAGGTAAAAATTTAACTTTTTATCAAAGAAAGTCAATATTCTATTGAGAAAATTAGTGTAAAATGGAAGTAAGGGCAGCATAAGATGAAATAAGGGAAAAATAGTGAGAGAGACAAACTGCTTGGCAGGCCCCTCAAGGCCCTGCCTCACCTGTCCTCTTGGCTGTCTCTCTACAACCTTGGGACACTCTCTCCTTTGGCCTCAAGATTGGTCAACCTACTCTAGTACCTTCTGTTTGGCCGCCTCTTCTCCCCTCCCCTTCCCACTGTTTCTCAATTCCCCCAAACCAGAGTAGCTCAGGCAGGAAGATTCCCTCCTCCTCCTCCTCTCCCTTCTCCAGACTGACACTTTGTGATGTCTCTCTTGAGCTCCATAGAGATAAGACAGTGCTTCTTTTCTATTATAGTCAGTGTAACATTGTACCAAAGCCTGGCCCAGAGAGTGTCCCCCATAAACATTCATTATCCAGAGAGAGAGAGAGAGAGAGAGAGAGAGAGAGAGAGAGAGAGAGAGAGAG